GTGACAAAGTATGCGGTGAAGACCTGCACGAACTGGGCCCAGCATCTTATCGACCCGGGGGCCAGGTTCCTGTACCAAGTGCGGGGGCTACCCCCTGAAGGTGATGGTGAAGGCCACGCACATGCACGATTCACTGGCCCTGGCGAGGTGCATTTGGGACTGAAAAGCGTCAACGTGGTCGTTGGGGTCGAAGGACCCATCATACTTGTCCAAAGGTGGGAACTTGAAATCTCTGGGCAAGGGGACCGTCAGGAGTTCTGATGCGAGGGGGGAAGGAATTGAGAGAATCGGGGCAGCTCCTACCTTGTCCGAGCTCATCTCTTCCTTGCCTCTGAGCTCTGGCAAGACACGGGTAGCAGTTCGGCGACTTCGTCGGCGCCTTCGTTGTTGAGTGGGCCTGGTACTGGCGCTGCTGGCCTCTGTGTTGCCGAGCTCGATGGGCCCGGAATGCTCATAGCCTACTGCCAGGGCGCCGAATCGGTTTTCCGTGAGCAGGAACTCGGGTCTGGAGCGCCGAGGTGCCGACCTTGCGGGCGAGGTTCCTGACCTGCCTGCGAGCTGCGAGGCAGGGGGATTTTTCTCTCTCTTTGGCCTGGGGACGAGGCCTGGCTGTTAGGGGGGTTCTGGGGCCGGGAGGCTTTTCCCTGGTGGGGGCGTCCATCCTGTGGGGAGGCCTTAACCGGCCTCGGAGCAGGGTGCCGAGTTGGAAGTAGTGGTTGGTTCAGCGGCAGTTGGGGGAACTGCTATTGATAGTGATACTAGGAGATGTTGTGCAGTACTTGGTGCTACTGAAGCTAGTGCTGCTGGAACTGTTGCATTTGGGGTTGCATTGCCCGCATGCACTTTATCAGGTCGTCCAACCGGTTTTGGCTGGTTGCCAGGGGGACGATAGTTGGTTCAGTAAAGGTTGTCTCGATAGGGGGAGGAAAGGGGATGCTCATGGTAGGAAGGTTTACGGGCGCCACTGCTTGTGGCGCATTCAAGCTGGGGATCCCATCCACCGAAAGGGGGATGGTGAACTGTCCAACGCACACCACGGGGACATGAAGTTGTTCCCCGGTGGTATTTGTCTCCGTGCCACGTCCGGTGTTGCTGGAAGAAGCCATGAGTGTTTGGTTTTGTGAAGAAAAGAGGTTATGAGAGTTTGGAGGGAGGCTTTTTGAGGCGTTTCCCACAGACGGCGCCAATTGATGGTGCGCAATCCGGCCGGTCTTAGCTGTCAACGACCTTGCCTCTGAACGGAGCTACAGGGAGCCTGAAACAGAGAAGATGAGGAAACTCCGGGGGGAACCCGATATGAATGCTCCGAAGCTCAAGTTAGAATTCTTTCGAAAGCAAGATAAAACCAGATAGCGCAAAGTTTTGCATACCTTGTTCTTGGGGGTAGGGAGCCTTTTATAGCCACCTCGTGCACTCACTCCTAAGCTTCTGTCAGGTCGGGTACGATTACCTCTGGTCTCCTACCAGTTTGGGTGTCATCCCCTCTGCTAGTCAGAACCGCCACTGCTCCCCTTTGTCGGAGCCGTTTCTGCGACTGGCGATGACGGCGGCAGGTGGCGGTGGTAGGTGACCGTTGAAGTGCGGCTATCAAGCGTCAGATCCCAAGTCAGTCAGATGCGCCGCCCTTGGATACGGACCTCCTCGGTGTCAGGTATGGTACATTTGTTCAGTTCAGCGTCTCGGAGGTGAAGTGCTGGAGTGGCGAACGAGGTGAAGTCTTGAGTTCGGATAGGGGAGTGTCCCGAACTGCCATGAGGTGGGCCAGTTCGGGTCACTGCCTTGTGTGGCTCGGGGCCTAAGGGAGAATTCAGGCTCCTCGTAGGGAGGTCGGGCTCCTCGTAGGGAGTTCAGGCTCCTCGAAGGGAGTTCGGACTGCTGGTTTCTTCCCTTTGGTGCTTGCGCCCTGGGTGCGCTGTTTTAAGTGCCGAGCTATTTGCTTTTGCCACGTGGAGTGATTGCGAGGTCTGGCCAAATCTTCCTTCATCAAGATTTATATACAAATTCTCAAACTCGATGGTAAAATAGTAAAATATTCCTAAGTTTAATATTGATTTTTAAAATCTTTCTAAGTTTTCTCCAAATTCTTAAAATCCTAGTATCCCATAATTCCATTTATAAAGTATTCCCAAATTGTCATAATTCAATTTCTAAAATACCTTAAATTTTCATAATTTATTTTTTAAATATCCAAAAATTAGATTAATTTTAGGTGACTACCTCAAGGTAGGGAAAATTTAGGGATTCCCCATCTCCTGCAGAAAATAGATGCTCCTCCCCAAACCTGCCCCGCCACTGGGGATGCGGTGGGGATAGGGCAAAGTCTCAGGGACAGGGAGGGAGTGCCCCACTGGCCCATCTCAAATCCATCCCATCATGTTCAAAAGTAACTATATGGATATTTTACACATTTTCATGCCTCTTTTTAGAGAATTCTAACAAAAGGGGCTATACTTCCAAATGTGATAAAATATCTATGGGAGATGATTACAATTACTAAGCTTTAGGGGAGTTTTCAGCGATTTAAACTAAAATAAATGAATTATTTATTGAATTTCTTTTATTATTCTATAATATCAATTTCTACAAATATAAATGCTAACATGGCATTTTATATATGTAATATATATATATATAAAGGAAATTCTTTAAAATCTATTAATTAATAGATAGTAAAAAATATCAATTATAAAATGTAGAAGCAAGTTATTTCCTCGAGATTATTTATTCATAGAATGTACTGCCAAAAAGGATTAGTTATTGCTAAAGTGAGAGATTTAAATTGAGAGAACATCGTGATGGAATTGTAGTGTGATGACACTTCCATCGTCACTAAGGCTATGTTTGGTTTGAAGGAAAAGGTAGCTTTACAAACCTTATAATGTAAAAGTTTCCCTATTTTTCTTTCAAACCAAACACAACTTAAAAAGTTTTTTTTTTAAAGGTTAAATGGTTTCTAAATTCTAACGAGTCATGATATGTGTCATTAGTCATTAATCGTATTAGTTGCTTTTCATGAGTCATATATAACATTTGACATAGTTCTACACTATCATGATGAAGTCAATTTCCTTCACCGTAAGGCCAAACCTCAACCACTTATTTAATGGGTCTGACATCACAACTCACAAGTAGGCAATTTAGCAAATTCCTTCCAAATTTAAGGGAGGTATATGGCAAATGGCACGTAGTTGTTTGCTCAATTAGATCCCCCCCAAACCCAACACACCCCAGTTCCTAATCCTCCACTGATCGATATCGTGCCAATTAACTCATTTTAGGCTCAGTTTGGAAAGAGCATACTGTACAAATATATACAAAATAATACTAAACATTTAAGGTTTTACACTCCTACTCTATCCAAACTGAGCCTTAAGTTGATGTGGTATTGGTCAAGGTCCAATCAAACAACTTATAAAGGACCAGAGGAGAGGATTTGAAGTGCTTCTTGTTCAGAGAATGTCGTTATGGAAATATTTACTGCAGCAAATGCTTGTGGGGATGTAAATACGTTATACATGCACCCCTGTTTTGATAAGAAAAAAAGTTGCGTTCTCAGAGCGATAGTTATAGTTCTAGTCAAGGGATTTGTCCTCCCAAATGTTGATCCCACCATCATTCCCTGGGTTCCAGTGATAGAAAGATCATCTTTGAGTTAAAACCCTCTGAAGAATGAGGTATACCCAAATAGAGAGAAAGCTGTCAAAAGCATTGTTGGTGTGAGACCTATTACGAATACTGCTGCCAAAGGAAAGGAGCTGCCTCCTAAGAACATGATCCATGGTGAAATAGAATCAATACAAATGTTACTCCAAAATGAAGAGCACAATGATATTTAGGATGCGTTTGGAAATGATGTAAATAAATGTGAATGTAAATATGTAAAGTGTAAAATGGTTCATATAAATTATAAAGTCGAATTAGTTTTGCACCGACAAACTTACCTTCTTATCAAACAGACTTTTATGTATAATAGATGAAAACATGAATTCCAACAAAATATATGTTTTTTTTTGTATTAAAAGCCTATTTGAATATAAATTTACTTCCTTTTTATTAATGTATTTTTACATCTTATTATCAATGTAAATATACATTATTAATCTATTATTTATTAATACATAAATATAATATTGTCAAATACAAACAAAAATGAACTAGAGTACAAATTTACCCTCAGGACAGCGCGTGAAACACTATCATTGATTCCACAGCCTGCAGCCTGGTGAACAGCCCATCCATCGTGTTCAGCTAATCCGTGCATCTTTCTACTATGAAAGAAACTTGTACTAGTATAAAAAAGAGTAGTTTAAAGATAAAAATAAATCCAATCAGGGGTATTTGTCACAAAGTGAATGGGGTATTTGTGGCAAGTGAAAGTTCAGGGGTTATTTGCCACTGACACCCGTTTGCTATTTGATAAATTATTTACCCGAGTAGATGCATTTATTTACCATTTATATCACTTACGTATCAAGTGTTTATCTTATTCAATTAGAATCAAAATCGCATTAAAAACGTCCCTATATTGTGTTAATAAATCATAATTTACCCTAACATTTATTATTTACCGATTCTTGAGGCCTAAGGGGGTGTTATTTACCGATCCTTAAGTTTCCACCTTCCAATGACACAGTAGAGTTCTTGATGCAATGCATGACTCACTCACACAACTGTGTAATGAGGTCATGCTTCTCTATTAAGCAAAAAGCTTGCAGGCCTTTGGTGAAGATGACAGAAGTCAAATACACAGGAAAAACTAATTCTAATTCTGCTTGGCGAGAAACTTACGGATTAAGAAGGGTATATTTTCTTTGGTGAAATATAAATATAACCAGTCTGCCACGCCATTAATGATTTCCCAAGCGAGGCGATGCTTACCTACCATGACCAGCACCATTTATTTATTTCCCTCCATTTGTCACAGCATTTTGCTTTGCACAAAACACAATCCTCTCTCTCTCTCTCTCTCCTCTGCTAATTAAAGTTTAAGAGTATTATTATAACAAAAAAACAGGCATTATGAACATAAAGACTAGAGGTCTCTCTTTAACAGAAAGTAGGAAAAACAAAGATGGGCGAAAACAGAAAAGCTTCAGAGGCCGGAAGAGAACCTAGGAGAAAGAAATAAAATCACTGTATTGGCACTGTATCATTTATATTTACTTTCACTAAATAGAAACTATACGGCCCCATAAAAGACAAACACCTAGCTCTACCAATTATCTACCTTCTCTGAGTTCTCCATCTAAGAAGGGACAGTAATAACAAGCTTCTCACCAAATATCCAGAACCCTACAAATTACAAAAGACCCCATGACTTCTCTCTATTCCTCGAACCCAAGAGGGGGGCAGCTGAGAATCCGAGCCAACCACTCATCATCACTCTCCCCGCCATCACAGCCGTTGCCTCCGTCACTGCAAACCTCCACAACTTCCGCAAAACGACACTCGTTCTCTTCGTCCAGAGCCCACTGCCCACTCTCCATTCCCGAAAAGCTCATCGACCAACCGGACAACTCCTCGGCAGGTTCCGTGACCCGCGGAATGCCGGTGCCCCCAATATCAACACTCGCCATTCTAGTTGAAGCCGAGTCCGAAAATGAGGCTCCGCAGATATCCTTATTACCATTGATCGTCATGTAGGTTGAGGTTGGAGGGTTGAAACCAGTAGGACATCTTATGACCTCCTCCAACGACTTCATCACCTCTGCTACCATCTCCTCTTCAATGGCAGCACCATCCAACAAGTCCTCCTCGTCGTCAGACATCTCCGGAGATATTGATCGTTTTTCGGCAACCTGATGACTGGGAGCATCATCAGGCTCCGGCCGCTTTCGACTCTCTTTCATGATGTGTGTGTGTGAGAGAGAGAGAGAGAGAGAGAGAGAAAGAGGTAAATATATAAAAGAAAACTGATGGTTGATGGACGCAGAGAAAGTAGAACAAGAGCGGGGCATTTATAGGAAGAGGAAGAGGACACACAGCGTGGCAGGTGGATATCGCCACGTAGGACAAAGAGTGTAGATGGATGACGTGGCAGATTTCTTCTGTCACTATGGCAGAAAAGGTGGGTATTGCATAGTAACTGCAGTCCAACAAGATAGAGTACAGACGAAATGTCGGTAGGCATTTTCGAGGGGAAGTAAACCCCGCCTCGAGAAACGACTTTTTTTTGTATTAGAATTACTATATTACCCCTTAAACACTACTTTATTACTATAATACTCTTTGGATGCCCCATAGAGCATAGGCGCCGTTTGTTTGCATATGCAGTTCTGCACTGATGTGAAGGTGCAAATTAGTTCGGTGAAAATTCTGGTTTGCTTTTATTTTAGATTCTACTTTCGTAATGGTTTTCAAGGAGTTTGCACTCTTTTCAAGGAGTGATGCAGATAAAATTGCAGTGTAAACAAATAGAACTTTTTTTAGTTTTCCTCTAATTACATTAGTTTGCAATGCAATTTTATTTGCCCTACACAGGATGCAAATCTTGTGTTTTTATTTTGATATGTTTTATTTTTTAAATTTTAATTTAAAAATAATTAATCACATTTGGGAGAAATGAAAAAAAAAAAATCCATATGAGCTTTGTGGTGAAAGTACCCCTCACCTCCCTTCCTTGCTCTTTCTAATATAGAAATTGATATGGACTACTAAGACAAAGTCAAATCATTATCATCATCCAAGTTATTCTAAATGTATGGATCAGCTACATGAATTCAATTTCGTCACTCCCTTCTTTTTAATTCAATATTAACTGTTAAATTATTAGTACTTAAATAATTTCTTATTACAAAGTCAAAATAAAATTTTAAAAAAAAAAAAAGATAAATCAAAATTTACACTCAACCTATTTGCACTCCCTATACACTTTGATGCCACAGCCCACAACACACTACAATCCTCACTAGATCCCAGCCCAGTTAGAAGGTCAAAACCACCATGGAGAGTGGTAAAACTCAATGTGGATGGTGCTGTTAGAATAATCATGTATGGTGTTTCAAAACAGTGCTAGTGGATTCCTCTTTCCCAATCATCAGAAAGAAATTCCTCTGATCACTGAGATGTTGGCACTACCGGAGGGTTTGAAATTGGCTTTTAAGGTGGGAATTTCCAATATCCTGGTTGAGAGATTCATTTTAATTAGATGTTTATTGGTGGATTCGTTGAACCACATGATCTATCAACATTTTGGTCACTGAGTGCAAGCCGGTGTTACGTCGCTTCTCAAATTTCTTGGTTTATCATATTTCTAGAAATGCAAACATGGGCAGCCACAAAATAGCCAAACATACTACTTATTGTCCAAGAGTAACAATTTGATCTTAAATACCCGATTTCCTTTTCAATAATTGTACAAAAGGTGTAAACCGGGTTTTGTTGATAAATGAATTTGCCCTAAAAGGCCTTTCTAAACAACAAAACCATTCCATAAGAAGAATAAGCAATCAATATAGGGTCACAAGTAGACCTATTCATGACCGGACTCGAATTTGACTTTTGTCAAAATTCTAATAGATTTGACCTGAAACTTAAAGTTGCGCCCGAAACCCGACCCATAAACAGTCTAATCACAAGTAATTATTTAAATACAATAGTCTAGTACTGACGATATAAATTAATTGTGAAAGACTTTTAACAAGCCACATGGCCTGTAGCTCCTTCAGGTACAGAATTGCCCGTATCTAGATATTATCCTCAGCTTAAAACTTAATAAAAGACAAATGAACATTAATAGCAACGGTTACATGAATATCACTAGGCTGTGTTTGGTTGGAATGCAATTTTATTTATATTAGTATAAATGTTGAAAGTGTAAATGAAAATAATGCAAAATATGATTTAATTTTATTTTATTTTGTTTCAGGTTTTATTTTATTTTATTTATATTACAATATAATTAAATAAAATAAGTTAAATTTTGAAATAAAATTAAATCATAATTTGCATTAAAATCATTTGCACTACCATGACTTTACATTAGTATAAATAAATTTGAATTGCAACCAAAAGCAGCCATATGACTGTCCTATGTAACAGTAGAATTGCAATATGTTTGACATATCCATTTACCTTTCGTGGAAAATTACCATAAATTAAGAAGACTTGTATTTGGATAGGTAAAAACCTCTTCAATCCTATGGGCTTGAACCACTCTTCTTATGTTGTGTTTTTACATAAAAAATGAGGATTTTATAGTTCCCACTGTACAAGTGGGAAGAATCCTGACTATGGATTGATACCAAATTCACGGGTAGAATGTGATTTATAAGAGGGTTACTAGTAGACTAAAAGGTGACTGTAATTTCAAATTTCTGAGATGGATTGAAATCTACTTATCCCTAAAATAATTAAAATTATATATTTTTTTTTATTAAATCGATATAAATTGGTGAGAAATAATGTCACATCACATATGAGAACCAATTTAGTTAAAATTCAACATATATATATATATATATATATACACACACGTGTGTATGTGTATGTGTGTCTACTATCAACCTTCCACACCTACATTTTTTAAGTAATGGCTGTTTCAATTATAAATAGTCTCAAATAAACGGTTATATGTCAATTTATATTAATCAATCAAAAAGTTTGATACCAAATTCAACCTTCTTAATTTAGCATTATTTATATCAATCTAGCATATAATGCCAATTATTGTCTTGGGGTTGGAATTGAGTGGACCATTCCGATACAAGTTTTTTGGTTGGGCAGAATTAGACTTCTATTCACATTTTTGGTAGAATGGAATTCCCCATTTTAGGGAATGATCATTCCCTTCGTCTCCCTTAAGAATAAAATCTCATTTCAACTTAATATAATTATCAACCTGATTCCTGTCTGAACCAAACAGATTATGGGAAGACCATTTTGGTTCTGATTTTGAAGGATTTCAATTTTAATTTTGATTTGATTATAATTCTGACTGTGAGCCAAATGAACCATTAGGTTTTTACACTTTTATTCTTACTTGCACACATGCATGATACATGTGCTTATATTAATATAATATATCGAAAATCTATTTTATGGTGCATCACATAAGTCAACTAAAGTGGAAATGTTTTAGAAACGCAAGAAAATGAAACATTTTCTTGACGCTTAATGCATGTAGTCAAAACAAAAACACACGGTTCCAAAAACTGCCACTAGGAAGGTTACATGGCATTATATTCTGGTCTTCTTATAAATAACATAAAAAGTAAATAGGCAAAGCCTTAGCCAAAAAAACTTAGGTCAAGTAAATCTTATTGGAACCATCTGAGTTGGGCTATATAAACGCTTTTTTCCATTACAACCCATAAAGCCTTTTTTTTTTATGCCTTGACTAAATATATTAAGTAAATTATATATATGATATATTTTAAACAGACCCAAAAATAGTGTTTGAAAACAACCAATTAGTTCTAAGTGTTGCATCTAGAGAGAAATGTTTCAATTTGCCTTAAATTGTAATACAAAGCAAGCTTAGTGCTCATTATTGATATTTCTTTGTTGGTAGCTGCTGCTACTCTTACTATTGTTACATGTGCTTGTTATTATTGTTTTTTTTTTTTTCATAAGTGTTATTATGGTAATTATCAGGGAATAAATTTGCTAGTCAACTTGTTTAAAAGTTTCTTTGTTTGGCCCATATAAATCTTTCGTTTTTTAGGCTTAAAAGGAGTTCTAGTATTTCTCTTTTCACTTTTATTCACAAAGAAAAAAAAAAAGACTAGATTTGCCAAGTGCTGGTTGCTCGATCAGAATAAATTAAACATTTTTCGCAAGGAATTTTATATTAGAAATATAAAAATCTGAACATCTATATCATATTTATCCTTGAACTTTTTGGTTTTCAAAAGTTTGTTCAATAAACATTTTTGTGTTATTAATTTTGATAGCTTTCCCCTCCCAAACCCGGAGTATCTGTGGTCTTACAATTATTGATAAAATAAAACATAAAAAATTTGATAACTTTTCCCTAGACCAATTTTCCCGCCCATTTACTGGTAAAATGAACGGAAAAGACATAATTTCCGGAAATTTTGAGATTTTGATTGATCAAAATTCTTTTTTTCCGTACCATATATTTCCCCTAGCATAAACTTTCACTATTGAGAAAAAAAAAAAAAAAAAAGTCAAAGTCATGATGCCTAAAACGCTGACAAGTTATTCGGGTATCATACCGTATGGGACCACTCCCTTTGTATCTTGTAGACGGAGACGGTCCGGGGTCCAGATGGTATGGTATGCAGTGTTTTGTTTGTATCTCCAGGTATCTTTGAAATCAATGGCTGTCTGCCTTTGCAGCCTTCCACAGATAATTACATCACGGAGGTAGGGAGAAACTGGTCAATTGACAAACCCGGATTAACAGAGAAGCAAAACGATTTTCAGTACTGTCTTTGTCTTTTCTCACATCTCCATCACCGGTGACGAGTGTTTACGTGGCATGAGGACGTGGGTGTAAACGAGACGATATCCTCCGTACTAAGTAGGCCAGAGATGAGTGAGAGATCCCGCTTCGAGAGTTTGGGTTTTTGGACCTTGGAATCCGGATGTTGGTCCTCACAAATAAAAAGAAAAATTTGGCGGCGACAAATTGATGGAGACGAGAGACGAGGAAGGAAGGGACTGAAGCTGATCGGTTCCTGGCGGTCACATGGGAGTTACAAATCACAGTCGGTCCGAAGGTGGGTTCCGTTTTCTACGTACGGCAACTCAGTTGAACACGTGTAGATATAAGTTGTCGAGCCCACTGGAGACTGGACCGAACCGGAGATCAGATGGATAAGAATATAAGATACTGAGCGAGTGAGAGTCAGAACTCAGAACAGAGGAAACTTGAGTTTTATGTTTTATCAATACACGATGTATCATATTATTCTACATGAGCTGCATTAAACACCTGATGAATCGATGG